CCATTAGACAAGCGGAAATTGGCGAAAGGACGAATGTGAACTTGCCTCCCCCAAATACCTCTCTGATCGCCTTCAAACTGCCAACATCAACATGGCGCCAGTCATTCTGAAGACGCAGAGGCTGCCCACGCTCGACCCGAGCCAACGTGGCAGTCTGTTCGTCAGCGGGTGGATTTTTCACCATAATGTCTTTTACGACTGCAACCTTGTCAGCGATGACGCGCAGAAAATTCGATACGCCATGTCATTGCTACATGGACCGGCTATGGATTGGTGGCAGCAGATCATTTAGTCGCAGGAGCCAGATACGACGTCGCGTGTAATCGGGCGTTTTCGCACAACCAATAACTGGGCAGGAAGTTATTGCAAGGTGGACGAGTACAGCACGTGGCAATCATGGTGCGCGGGAATTCGTTGCCGTTTCGAACACGTCAACGCAAGCAGTCAACACCACCTTCGCATATGGCACCAACTTGGATCGGTCCAGGACTACACAAGCAGCTTCAAGAATTTATGCGACCAGGTCGGCTACATTCACCCTAACGAAAAAATCGATAAATTCATTGGGTGAATTCGACCGGATCTGCGCAGAGAAATACAAGTCCAAGAAATGACAGATTTGATGGAGGTGCAGATGGTTGCGGAGCAGTTGGATTCGTTCTACAGACGATGGACATGATCTTATAATGGAAACTGCACTCAAGGACCAATCGAGCATGCCACTGTACACGCAGTTACAACATCGAACTCAGTAGTTACAACCTTCAAGGGTCGCTGTTTCGGGTGTAATAGACCGGGACACCGCTAGTCGGAATGCCCAGAGGAGCAGAAGAAGTGGAATCAGGGGCACGGGAGTTCCAGCAACCAGGGAAACGCTTAGTACCACTAGTTACCATGCCTACTACTGATGGAACCTGCTCGCCCGTGACCGGAGGACCCTCAACGAGTATTGGTATCGATCCACGCAATCGACCAAACTCGGCTGAATAAGGAGGGTGCAGCGGCAGATTACCCCATCTATTTAGGAAGGTAGTTTCAAAGGGAAAACATTAAAATCTTCGTGGACGGGGGCGCCAGCCACAGTCTGATCAACCTCGCCACGACAAAAAACATGAATTACCCTTAGATAGGTGTCTAGCGGAGATTGTTGCCCGACTAGTCGATGGGACACCATTAGCAATAAAAGATAGGGCGGAGAGGATTAGGGTACGTTGTGGAGGTGACTTCAACTTTTTGATGGGGATGCTGGCAACTAGACTCGACGGCTTCGACATGTTGCTGGGACAGGATTGGCTGCAACGATTCAACCCAAAAATTCACTGGACGACTGGCAGCTGTTCCCTCAAAATCAACGGCCGTAGTTTGACATTACCAGAATGGACGAAGGGGATCACAAGGGGAGTGACGTAGGTGAACTCCGTGGCGATCAAGCGAGCGGTTGCACGGGGAGCGGAAGTCTTCGCTGTAGTCATTCGTGCAGTCGACGAGGCATTGCAGCCGTCCGATTTAGAGAAGCTGACAGCAGCAGTGCCGGCCGATTTAGCGCAGCTGATTTGCAGATTCCCGCAGATTTTTACAGACGACCTGCCCAAGGGATTACCACTGGAATGGCCCTTCGACCATCGAATAAAATTAGAACCAGGGACACAGGCCCGCCGTGCAGTGGCAATTTCGATTAACAAAGCTGGAGTTAGAGGAATTACAAAAGCAATTAGATTACTTACTGGAGAAAAAAATCATTCGCCCGAGCTCGGCGTCATTTGCCGCCCCCATACTGTTCACCCCGAAGAAGGACGGCGGGTACCAAATGTGCACTGACTACAGAGCAATGAACAGGGTGACTATCAAGGTCGCGTTACCCTATCCCGCGTGCCAACGAACTGATCGATCAACTTCACAAAGCTCGCTTCTTCTCCAACATAGATTTACGAGGGGGTTACTATCAGATTTGCGTAGTCGTAGCTGACTGTCACAAGACGGCATTTTGTACTAGGTACGGGAGTTTTGAATACGTAGTTATGCCCTTCGGGCTGACGAACGCCCCAGCGACTTTTCAGATGACCATGAACTAGATCTTCAGTTCACTCGTAGATAAGTGTGTTATAGTTAACCTAGACAATATTATGATCTACAGTGAGACCCGTGAGCAGTACTTAAAGGACCTCGAAGCAGTTTTTACGCTACTGCAGGAGCATCGGCTGCTCACGAAGGGGTTGAAGTGCGAGTTTTTGAAAGATCGCTTAGAATTTATAGGACACGTTATTTCCACTAAAGGCGTAGAAGTGGACCCCCGCAAGATCAAGACAGTGCAAGCCTGGCTACCGCCTAAGAACCTGCAGGAGCTGCAAAGATTTTTAGGCGAAGGCCTACAGCCAATCGCGTACGAGTCACGAAAGCTGCACCCGCCCAAGCGAAACTATCTGATACACGACAAGGAGATGCTCGCGATCGTGCACACGTTCAAAGTGTGGCGGTACTACCTGACGGGCGTGGACGTGACTGTATGGACAGACCACCGAAGCCTACAATACATCCGTGCACAGCCACTACTCAACCCTTGACAGATTCGATGGTTGGATTTTATGGAGTCCAACTTCGATTACACGGTCACCTACAAAAAGGGGGCATCAAACATCGCAGACCCCCTTTCTTGCCCATCCGCCCATCTCAACTCCATAATCCTCGCCCATAATTCCTCGCTATAAACATGCCTATTTACCCATGGGTACAAGATGGACAGATTCCTTACGTCGGGTGCGTACGAACAACTCGCAATGGCTAAGGGAGTCTATTACGTAAAGGCAGGGACTAACCGTATATGGGTACCAGAGTACAGCCTACTTTCACAGGAAGCTTACGATAGTACTGTTTTGGGGCACTTTGGAGTGGAGAAAACCCGGCAGCAGTTGACCACATACTATTTCTGGGCCGACATGCAAGGGGACGTGCAGCGGCATATGGTTTTGTGCAGAAACTGCCAAACCATGAAATCATTGAAGCAGAAGCCAGTTGGACAGCTGCAGCCGATTCCGCCGCCTGAGTGTGCGTGGCAGCAGGTGATGATGGATTTCGTCACGGGATTGCTTGCCAAGGACGGCTGTAATGACACGATATTTGTCATCGTAGATAAGCTGACGAAGATGGCCCACTTCGTTGCCTGCAAGAAAAGCATCTCGGCCGAAGAAACGGCCTGCCTCTTCATGTCAACTGTCGTTCACCTCCACGGAATCCCATCCATCATAATTTTTTATCGTGACACAAAATTCACCAGTAACTTGTGGCGCAACCTCTGGGACCAGTTTTGCACGCACATGCAATTCTTCTCCGCCAACCATCGCGAGACTGATGGACAGACCGAACGGGCCAATCAGACGATGGAGCACCTGATTCGTGCCACATGCAATGACGTGGCTGACTGGGAGCAGTTACTGTCACTGATTGAGTTCACGTAAAACAACGCCCCGTCAGCCACTACACGACAGTCACCAATCTATATAAATTATGGACAGAACCCTACAGTACCGATCACGCCCAACGTCGAAAATCCAGTACCAAGAGCCCAACAGCTTGCATAAATATTATAGAAAGCCTGGGAACGAGCAGCCGAAGCCATTAAACACGCGAATGTTATTTCTATGCGCAACACCGATCTACATCGACCAGCAATAACTTACGATGCTGGAGACTTAGTACTTCTCGACCTTCAGAACCTTTGACTGCCCATCATCCCAAAACTCCGCTCCCGCTATTGTGGACCATTCACCATCAGCCACATGATATCTTCCATTACAGCCCATCTACTATTACCGGCCACCTGGAACGTCAACCCATCATTCCACGTGCGATTACTTCGACCATACATCGCCAGCACATGGAAATTACAATGTCACCGAGCGAACCTGAACATCCGACCACTTGCCGAGCCTACTGTCGAACTCGCGAAGGTTCTCAGCCATCGGATCAAGGATCCTCAAGGGGCTCGCCTGATTGAGTTTCTGATATCTTGGAAGGACCGGACGACCCTGGAAAACAGTTGGGTGCCCCTAGCAGAGATCGAGAATAACCCGGTGTTACGGGTCTACCTCCAGTCTCGCAATGTGCGCGACGTCGGCGGTCTTAGCTAAGACCATACCTTGGAGGGGGGAGGGTGTAAGGAAATGGTATTTCCTTATCACGGGATTTAGTCAGTAAGGCACACACCGCTATAACGGGGTTGCCACGCAGCTCTGCCACGAAATTCAAATCGCGGTCCTAAATGTGGCCTCCTGACGAGCGGCATGTATTGTTGCCTACCTTGCTGTTGCATGCCTGCATCTGGGCGCTCTGTGCCATTTTACAAACCACACGTCGCAGCTCTGCCGAGCCACAATCTTGTGCTCCTAGGCTAGCTATTGTTAGAAGAGGGTTTAGCTAAGTTGGCAAGAAGGTAGCGAGAGAAAAGAGAGATCGACTAGAAGAGAAAGAGAGGTACAAGAAGTGGGTTGTCATCTCTAGAGTAGGATCCAATCAGAGTTATGCACCTGCCTAGCCTAAATATACATATATGTGAATACATATGTTTACACACCCCCTAGGCTTGGTACGTGCTACTCGCAGAGCCAAGAGACCAGGGCAGCACTACTAGTATGCCCTCTGGTTTGAGTAGCAAGAAAAGGTTGGAGCACACCACAAGCCCAAAACCCACAAGCCCAACACCCCCAAACCCTAACACCCCCATAACCAGCAGCAGCTTTGGGAGTCTACAGCGGTTCGACCCCTCGGCATGTGAGACGGGGACATCAGCGGCGGGGGCAGCGGCGGCGGCGGCGGCAACTGCAGCGGCGGCGGCGGTGGGTGGCGGCAGAGCCTGCAGCACCTGCGGCGGTGGCAGCGGCATTGAGGACTTCGGCGGCGGCAGCGCCCGAGGCATACGGCGGCGCAGCACGCTCTACATCGACGGGGGGAGAACGGCACAAGACCGCCAGCAGCTGTGGTAGGGAAGAGGGGGAAATGCAGAGGAGGGGGGGGGAGGGGGGGGGGGGAGTCTTTGGCAGCGACACCAGTAAGCGAGCCGCCCTGGCTGGCATGCTGGCTGGCATGCGGGCGTGGTGGCTGGCGCTAAATCAGTGCGCTGGCCCCTGCTGTCCGTGTGCTGGCGCGTCGAGGCCGCCACGGCAGCGCGACGAAGCCGCCATGGCAGCGCATCGACGCCATGGCAATGCGTCGAGGCCGCCACGGCAGCACGACGAAGCCGCCATGGCAGGGCGTCGATGCCACGGCAGCGCGTCAAGGCCACCACGGCAATGCATCGAGGACGCCATGGTAGCACGACGAGGCCGCCACGGCGGCGCGATAGTGAGAGGAGGGGAGGGAGTACGCTGTGGAAGCATGAGAAGAATGCTCAGCAGGATCAACGTGCTCTGAAACCATGTTAGAAGTGGGTTTAGCTAGGTAGGCAAGAAAGTAGCGAGAGAATAGAGAGATCGACTAGAAGAGAGAGAGAGAGGTACAAGAAGTGGTTTATCCTCTCTACAGTAGGATCCAGTCAGAATAATGCACTTGCCTAGCCTACATATACATATATATATAAATATGTGTTGACAGCTATATCCACGCTCCCTGCTGTTTGATGTTGTCTCAGTTGTATTGTTTCCTCGTTAATCAATCCTTCGACACACGCTCTTTGCGCTTCATTGCACTGTTCAAATGCCAAATATCATAGACACTCAGATTTTCATACTCCTAGGCTATGTTCATTCAAGTTTTTGTTGTCCCCATATTTGTACATGAGCACCTTTTTATGAAAGTTATATCATGGAAGTGGATAGCCCACTCTCACATACACCATAATTGGAGTAGGAAATTCATTAGGATACATACAAAACACATCAAGCGCAACTCTTTGGTGCCAACAAACAAAACGGGACTACCTCAAACAGAGAGACCACAATAACAGGCAAGCTAATTGCGCTGTCCATTTGAGCCGATTCCATGCACACCCCACTGAAAAAACCAACCAAACAATTCACAAGGCACGCAAGAGATGGCACCGCAGCATGTAATTCCGAGCACGAGGGACAAGAAACATGGTTTACCCATCTTCCTCTTGTTACACGTTGTTGGTTGCCGGTAAATGTGGCAAGGGTCACAGGTATGAAAGGCTTTGACTCAGTCATCTTTGCTGGTCGAACAGAGCTTGACGCAGATAGCGTGCATCGGAACATGTGCATCGCGGAAATGCTAAATGCCCAAACTTGCGAGAAAGTGACGAGAATGTGACATTTAGTAATCGGAAACACGGAAGGTAAAAAGCTTAGATCTAAGGTTTCTTTCGGGAGTTTTGGGAATGTCCCGCGCTAGTGGCGACATAGCTTCGGTAGACCCCCTGCAAAGCACCCTTCGCGGTTGCGGGAGAGTGACATGTCAGCTGCGGGGTCATGGTGCATGCTTAGCCACAAGGTCGTTGCGCCAGAACGGCGAGCACAGCAGCCACCATGTTGCTCTCATGTCGAACCACCGTGCCACATGTCTCCGCTAGGGCCACGCTAAGACCATCTTATCTATGCCAGGTGGCACCGTGTCGTCAACCAACCATGGCATGAGATCTGGTCCAACAGAGTGCACTGTCTCATACACCAAACCTGCTTGACATTCGCGGCATGCCTAGCCGCGACAGGCCGACGCCATTTAGGTCTTACCAATGCAAACTCACCCACACTACGCAATCCACTAATGCGGGGTTCAATCACTAGCGTCGATAATGCCGCGATGCCGACCCGTGGGCATGTGGCTCCGCACGAATGTCAAGGCATGTTGACAAATCTGTAATGCACATATGTCGACATCTCGTGCGATGCCACCCCCCACCCGACCACTGACCGTTGAAAGCACCGTGGAATGCGGCAACCAACCACGGCCGCCCAGCAACGCAAAATGAGAGCCGTCGATTGACGTGCCACGTGTCGGTCATCGCGCCACGCAAGGCGGCAAAAACGGATGACGCGTGTGCGCAAAAAAAACGCCAGTGTGTGATCCGCATGTTTTAGGTATAACGATCTTTAGAGCCAACATTGCTGTCCATAAAGAAAAGAAAAGAAAAGAAAAGAAAAGAAAAGAAAAAAAAGACCTGATAACACCATATTCCAACATGCCGACGATCCACATACACACGACCACAAAACTGCAAAAAAACCCATAAAATGCTACCTTACAGGTGACCCATGGATGCACAAGAAATCAGGGTCCGTCGAGGCAGGTTAGAGCCACGCAGAGCCGAATGCTCGACATAACATTGCATCATATTCCAAACACCCCGGGAATGGTAAAAGCATGCTATCCTAGCAGATCTACGTATTGTCAATGGTAGATCATTGAAACAAGAGTCGATGTCTGCGGGGGGGCATATGCCATTAGTCGTCGTCTGAGGTCGAGTTCAGCCCACTCGCCCGGCGCGGAGCAGCTGACGCTGGCAGCCTCTTGCTCTTGAGTCCGCACTCCGCCCCATTCCCACGCGTCCAGGTGCGCGTCGTACTCAACGCGGTGATCGTCAATGGCACGTGACACCGTGTCGCACACAATGACGTGAATCCCATCGACGATTGCAGCATTGTTGTGCGCCGAGTTGGAAAGGCGTGCTTGTCGGCGCCCCTCCCAGTGAATGATGGAATCATCAACCTGCCACCAATGCGTACGAGGAAATGTGAGAGCCACATACGTGACAAGCCCCAAACGCACCAACTCGGCATCTTACCACGTGCTCCAGCCGAGCAATGTGGTACATCTTGAGAACAAGGGCCTCGTTCACGCTCTTTGGCTTCAGCCCATGGCGAGCAGCAGCCACAAAATTCCCCATCCCCATTGGCAGGTTGTGGTTGTTGTTGTGCCACGTCGACAACACGAGTTTGTCTGCGCACCAGGGCCAAACAAACGAGGAACGATCATACATGTATCGGCACGCGATGGACCGTACCTGTGAGAGTACGACCCCGTTTACACCACTTGGCCTTTCCTTATTTCCTTCCTATTTCATTTCTCTTTCTATCTCATCTCATTTGGTTTCCTCTTCTCCCTATTCCATAAACCTTTGGTTTATCCTGCTATTATAATTATATCACCGACCAGGCTTGGGATGTACTGGTGCGCTATATCTAGCGTAATCCTGCCGTAATCCCTTAAAGCAATAGCCTCGCGTGGCTATACGCAGGGTGATTCTATCTTCTAGAAGGGTCTATTCCCTTAGGATAAGATAAACCTGGTTACCTGATGTACTCTGGAAGTGTAAAAGCGCCTTGTACTGATCGATAGTGCAATCTTTCCTCGAGTCATTCGATTCTGTAACACTTGGTAATCTGAGCTTTTCTCACTCGGCCGTGCTCAACAAACAGCAGCAGCGTGAAAACCTGCCTAAAAAAACCGCCGGGGGCGGACCATTCGACGCCGATTCTGGTAAGCACCAGCTCCGCGATTTTTCGAATTACAGTTTGGGAGTGTAGCGCAGTACACGCAGCAGATGGAGGAATTTTATTAACCGAATTCCCAACCTGACCCGAAGGGGAAAAAGTACAATCGTACCTCGCCGGCCTGAAGACCGAAGTCAAACGACAAGTGGTAGCGTCAAACTACGCGAGCTACAGTGACGTCGTTTCGGCCAGCGGAGCGCTTCGACATGGTCAACGCCAGGACATGACGGACGCACGTGGCAGTACGCGACAGGGCGACCGCTCGGCTCACCCCCGTTCGCCGACCCCATGGAAGTCGACAGGTTGAGGGGCGGCCACGTCCGAAAAACACCAACTACACGTGTGATTTTTGCGGGGTGCCGGTCATCGAATCTTCGACTACAACAAAATGAAAACCGCACGCGCAGAGTATCGGGCACGCAACAGTGGCGGAAATCCTTCGGCCAATCAGAAGACAAAAAATGGGAGTCGCCAGTGATTGTGGATCTAGCTGGCGAAAATAAAAGATCCGGAACGCGGCCGCGGGATTCGGGAAATCAACTTCGACGAAGCTGATTCAACGCGAGGAGGAATGATGGGGGAAATTCTCCACCCCACGACCAGTCTTCGCCAGGGAATTGCCGAGGAAAAATACGACTCCACGAAAAGACTCTGCCGAGACGGGGAAACTCCTTGAGACCCAAGAAATTATAAGGATTCGTTAAGTTATCTTATATAGATGCTTTATGAAACTATGATTTTCGAGGGGCTAGAGCCTTGGAGAAAATTCGGGAGGACTCCAAAGAACAGACAGCTGTGGAGATTATACCGGTACCGGACAACTTGGGGAAATTTAAGGAGTGTGGAAAGAGCCGACCTTTCACGGAGTCAACGTCCTCTCCCGACACCAGCCCCAACGACCACCCGTTCCCCAGGGAAGACGTCAGTGGAGCTGAAGCAGCTCAAGAGGAAGCTGGGGGTCTACAAAAAGCTGCACAAACCCCGAACTCCTCCCCTGGATGCATCCAGTTCTTCGGCATCAGTGACGCGCACAATCGTCAAGGAAACTCCGGGCCCTGGAGAAGAGCCGTTCTCCAAGTAGCCTCGGCCAGCTGACACCCAGGAGTAGATAGCAACACAAAGGTGTGTACGGAATATTGGGATGTACCCTATGACCCAATCAACGAGACTATCTTTGGGTACTCCGAGCAACGCCTGCCCCTCGTGCTCGAGGTCATCTCCAAAGGACGACGCCTCCAAGCACTCGTGGACAGCGGAGCATCGCACACCGTCTGCGACAAGGCAGTAATCGACCGACTTCGGGAAGAGTACAAGCCTTCAGGATTCTCTGCAACGATGGTGGACGGAAGCAAGTTACCAGTACACGGCGAAGCAGTGCTACACCTACAAATCGGACCACTGCGCTCGAGACCTGCACTTCCCATCACCAACATCAAAGGGCTTGACTTGATCTTCGGGCGAGACTTCCTAAAAAGATTCACCCCGAGATCAACTGGGTGAACCACACCGCAAGCATCTACACAATGGATGGAGAGTACAGCTACCCAACTGGGACGATACAGGAGATATCCCAGTGGAGACACTCGCACGATTCGAGAAGGACGTGAAGCAAGCTGATACCGGGTTCTGGGCGATAGCAACAGAGGCGGAGAACGACAGGGAAAAGACCTCGGAACCTCCGAAAAAGATCAAGGATTATTGAAGGAGTTCCAAGACATTCTTCCTGACGATCTTCCGAACGAGCTACCGCCATACCGAACGCATCAATACGAGATCGTGGAGGAACCGGGATCGAAGCCGACCTTCCGAACCATATATCGGCTCAGCCCTACGGAGCTGACCGACATGAAAAAACATATCGAGTATCTCCTTGCCAAAGGACTCATCCAACCATCCACTTCGCTATACGGTGCCCCAGTAATCTTCACACCGAAACTGGACGGAAGCCTGCGCATGTGCATCGATTACCAGGCTCTTAACAAGCAGACCATCAAGAAAAAATATCCGATACCGCGAATCGATGACCTGCTTGACCAGCTTCAAGGAGCTATGGTATTTTCCCACTGGATCTGCGGTCCGGATACTGGCACATACGGATGGAGGACAACTCTATCCACAAAACTGCTTACCGAACTCGGTATGGATCGTACGAGTATTTGGTAATGCCTTTCGGACTCACCAACGCACCAGCACCATTCCAAGCCGAAATGAACCACATTCTACGACCACTTTTGGACGAGTGCATGGTGGTATACCTGGACGACATCCTCATTTACTCGCGCGACATGAAGCAGCACGTCAAACACCTGCGACGCGTCTTCGAAATTCTTCGACGAGAACGGTTCTACGTCAAACTGTCCACGAGCGAATTCGCCCTTGAGAAGGTCCAGTTCCTAGGATACATGGTGAGCGCTCAAGGAGTTCACGTCGACCCCAACAAAATCGAAGCCGTACGTACGTGGAAGACACCCGAGAATGTGAAGGAGTTGCAGTAGTTCCTAGGCTTCGCTAATTATTACAACAGGTTTGTGCCACAGTATGTGAAACTCGCAGCACCACTCACGAATCTGCTGAAGAAGAACACGCCCTACAAATGGGAGGCGAAGCACCAGGAAGCCGTGGAGCAGCTGAACAAGCACTTACGTCCGCACCAGTACTCATCTTGCCAGATCCGAACGCGACTACGTTATCGAAGCTGACGCCAGCGACCAGGCAGTGGGAGCAGTCTTAATGCAAGACCAGGGGAATGGACTGCAACCAATCGCCTACCTCAGCAAGAAACTGCACGGGGCAGAACTAAACCACCCGATACACGACAAAGAGGCCTTGCCATTGTCATCGTCTTCAAAGCATGGAGATGTTATCTTGAAGGACGAAGAACAACCATCTACACCGACCACTGCAGCCTGAAATATTTGAAGACACAACCCAACCTTTCCAGGCGGCAGGTTCGGTGGATCAACTTCCTCGAGACACATTTCCACTACGACATCGTGTACAAGCCCGGCCACAAAAACAAAGCAGACGCTCTGAGCCGACCTGCACACGTTGCCGCTCAGATTGAAGGGATGAATCCACTCCTCAAGGGACTCTTCACACACGGGTACGCCATTGACCCCGAAATTCCCTTGGCAGCAAAGCGACATCTGCTACAATGGGAAAGTGACATCGCGTCCCGGAAAGGATCAACAAAAATCAGGGTACCCAATTACCCTCCTTTGCGCCAGTTACTACTCGAAGAATACCACGACGTCCTATACGCCGGACACTTCGGTAGCAACAAGACGCTGACCGGTATTGCAAAACACTATTACTGGCCCCACTTGGCAGAGGATGTTCAGAAGTTTGTCACCTCGTGTGATACATGTCAGCGGATGAAGAGCAGCAAGCAGAAAAAGGCGGGACTACTGCAGCCTCTTCCTGTCCCAGAACAACCATGGCAAGTGGTTAGCCTGGACTTCATCACCGGGTTACCACCTACCACCAGCGGTCATGACGCAATCCTTGTCCTCATCGACAAATTCTCCAAAACGGGACACTTCATCTCGACACACATGACAGCACGCACCGAGGAGACAGCACAACTATTCGTTTGATACATCATCTCACAGCATGGCATTCCGACCACACTCATCTCCGACCGAGACCCCAAGTTCACCAGCAAGTTTTGGAAGGAACTTATGTCTCTACTCGGGACCAAACTCGCCATGTCATCCGCTTACCATCCGCAGACAGACGGACAGACTGAGCGCCTCAACCAGATTGTCGAGCAACTCCTCCGAGCAGCCTGCAAGGACGAGATCTCCAAATGGGACTTGCACCTGCCTGTTCTAGAGTTTGCTTACAACAACACTACACATGCCGCTACTGGACAGACGTCGTTCTTCCTCTGCTACGGACGCCACCCACTCACACCACAGAAACCGACAACATCCGCTACAGTCCAACCAGCACACGACTTCCTCACAACTATGCATCAGCTCTGGGATCGGACCCACAAGCGCCTCCTCGACATTCAGGTGCAACAGAAGCGCCAGGCCGATCGCCATCGCAACGACCACACCATCACGGTGGGAGACCAGGTGCTCCTTGACACCCGCAACCTTGACATCAGCCATCTCCCATCCAAACTGCGACCTCGCTTCTGCGGGCCTTTCCTTGTTGAAGCACAGGTCACGCCTGTTACCTTCCGCTTACGCCTGCCAGCTACCTGGAAGATTCACAACGCCTTCCGTGTCCAACTTCTGAAGCCCTATCGGGATCCAAACACGATCTTCGTCGGACGCCAACCGCCGCCGCCGCCGCCCGTTCTCGTCGAGAATGAACCCGAGTACGAGGTCGAGTCTGTGCTTGCACACCGCCATCGTCGGAATGGCACCGTGGAGCTTCTCATCCGTTGGAAAGGTTATGATCCTTCTGAGAATAGCTGGGTACCTGAGTTTGACATGGGTAACGCCCGTCATCCTCTGCATGACTACCTTGTCAAGCACGGTGTTACTTCCACCACCCAGCTTTGAGGGGGGGAAGTGTGAGAGTACGACCCCGTTACACCACTTGGCCTTTCCTTATTTCCTATTTCATTTCTCTTTTTATCTCATCTCATTTGGTTTCCTATTCTCCCTTTTCCATTAACCTTTGGTTTATCCTGCTATTATAATTATATCACCGACTAGGCTTGGGATGTACTGGTGCGCTATATCTAGCGTAATCCTGCTGTAATCCCTTAAAGCCAATAGCCTCGCGTGGCTATAAGCAGGGTGATTCTATCTTCTAGAAGGGTCTATTCCCTTGGGATAAGATAAACCTGGTTACCTGATGTACTCTGGAAGTATAAAAGCGCCTTGTACTGATCGATAGTGCAATCTTTCCTCGAGTCATTCGATCCTGTAACAGTACCAGACATGGCATATGTATTGGGTTCGCGTAAATGCATGCATGCACCTTCCACCCTAGCGGCCGGGCCATAGCGTGAGCGAACCTTGTCGACGCTCTGCGAAACCTTCTTCCGTGGCCATGGGCTTCTAGCGTCGTGCTTGTTGCGGAAGAGACCTAGCCTTGGCAGTACGATGTCGCGAACCTGCCCCACAGCGCCAGACTTCCAATTGCTGATGGTCTTGTTAAGAACCCCGCCCCGTGCTTTGTCGGCTGCGAGCGCAAGGCTGGCGTACTTGAGAGGGAGACGCTCAATCACACCGCAAAGGCCCTTGGTTTTGTCGTTGCTGCTTGGGTAGAAGTTGATGATGCGGTTGGGCTTAGCAAACATCATCCACAGGCAGATGTGCACGCACAGCTCCTGCGGTTATAGGACACATGCACAACGCAACCGCCGAGTGAGAGGAACGAAAAAATATGTAGAAACAACGCCACAAGTACCAGGCACAAGTGTGCAGAGAAGCGCTACTGCAGTGGCCCCACCTTCCATGCCTTGTCGGCAGGCAGCACGTCAAGTGCATCCTGCACAATCGGGGACGCAGAATGCGTCATGTGGCGGCAAATGACGGCCATGTCTCCATCCTCATCGTAGGACGACTCGCCCTCGTTGACGTGCCTCTCCCCCCTGCAACGCTTGGGGCGGCTGCCACTGTGCGAGGCCGAATCGCAACTGCGTCTGCGACGGCGGGCAGGCTGGCTGTTCGCCATGGTTGCAACAGCAGGCTCAAGCCGTGCAAGGGCCCTCGCATTGTCCCGGCATGACTTGATGAGCAGTAGGAATTCCAGACGCGTGACTGTCGGCTCGGTCTTCTCCGGCTCCGGCTCGGCATCCTCGTCAGCTCGGCATCTTCATCCTCATCCTTCGGCCAACACCCGCATGCAGGGTGTTGGCTGGATCGTCATCCGATGACTCGGGAGCGTCCTCCTCTGCGCTGTCGCCTCCCTGGGACTCGTGCAGGATGTCGTCAATTTGGCAAGAACTCTCGGGGGGCGGGTCTGCTGGGCTTTGCTGCCTCTCATCATCACCGCTGCTGTCGGCAGATGGTGTGGCTGTGCGCGAAGGACGCCCCAACGATGTAGACGTCTCATGCGTTACGGCACTTGCAACACCCCAACAACGCATATGGGACGAGCGCATGAACGTGACATGTGTGCGGATACCACCTGCAATGGAGAATATCTTCGAGTGTATCTGCCGTTTGAGGATACCACCTTTTCATGTTTTGCTTGTAGTGTTTGCCGTGAGGGGGCAGCGGCATCGTTTCGAACGCACGGCCTCATCGCGGGATGTCCATCTGCCGCGGTGAGTCAGATGGTAAGTGTTCCTGAGGTATGCCGGAGGATTTGAGATACGATGTGAGCGCCCAGAGGCCTGAGAGTCCATTTTCTAAATCTGACAGGAAAAATGAGTTGGTGAAAGCACTCCGCCTATATGTGCTTGGCTTGCTCCATGGTACGCTGTGTGCTGTGGTGCTGGTGCCCTAGAGGTCACACCACCAGCCACCACGCAGTGGTGTGTGTTACAACAAATAGGAAAGCGCCAATGACGTCGCAATGCGTTGCTGGAAGATAACATCAACTCTTTGACCATTGTCGACAGAACACATGAGAAACGTCGAAATATCCAAAGGCGTGAAGTGTCATACCCGGTATGCATTGAAAATTTGAAAAGGGCACTAAGCTCACAAAAGTTGGTTCGGCATATGTACAGAAAAACACGTTCAATAGACTATGATGCAGATTCCTAAAACCAAGAACTCAAGCTAACCACAAGGCGACATTTCACACTAAGCCAGGCGACACCGTAGACAAACGGTGCCTTCTCCATGGACACTCTTGAAACACCAGCAACAAAGTACTCCGCCGCTATCCTGTGCACATGTTGAAAAAACCAGAAAACAGGTCACACAAGTAGAGAGATTTTTACGCCATACGGTTTTGTGGGTTCTTCCACCGATGCCATGAAGAGATGTCGGACAGCACATCTAAAAGCAAAAGCACCCCACATGAGAACCATGAAACACCTGCCTGTAATCCAACGTCCGGCACATGCCCCCCCTAGTCCTCGTCCCATCTGGCCGGATGGAAAGGGTTGAACGCATCATCGGCGTTTGCATCCCCGTTGCCCACGTCCGCGTCCTCCACCCCCGGAAAGCCGCGCTACTTCGGGCTGGAATCTGTCTCCGCCCCTTCATTGGCCGACCGCCCCTCCGTGTCGCATCCTCGCGCAGGCCTCGCCAGCGACATGCATCCGCCAGTCCCCCCTCCCACCCGTTGCATGCGGACCTCTTCCACAGCGACGCGCCACTCCCGCCACCAGCACTACTTGCGCAACCTGCTGAGAGTACGCACGTCGCTGCCAACACAGCCCACGAGCAAGGCATGCTCTTGCGGGGAAAGGGGGATCACCCCTTCGATGACGGAGTGAGTACGGAGTACATGCGCAGCGGGTGCATAGGAAGACGTCGGTGGAGCTGAAGCAGCTCAAGAGGAAGCTGGGGGTCTACAAAAAGCTGCACAAACCCCGAACTCCTCCTCCGGATGCATCTAGTTCTTCGGCATCAATGACGCGCACAGTAGTCAAGAAAACTCCGGGCCCTGGAGAAGAGCCGTTCTCCAAGCAGCCTCGGCCAGCTGCCAGCCCAGGAGTAGATAGCAACACAAAGGTGTGTACGGAATATTGGGATGTACCCTATGACCCAATAAATGAAACCATCTTTGGGTACTCCGAGCAACGCCTGCCCCTCGTGCTTGAGGTCATCTCCAAAGGACGACGCCTCCAAGCACTCGTAGACAGCGGAGCATCGCACACCGTCTGCGACAAGGCAGTAATAGACCGACTTCGGGAAGAGTACAAGCCTTCAGGATTCTCTACAACGATGGTAGACGGAAGAAAAGTTACCAGTACATGGCGAAGCAGTGCTACACCTACAAATTGGACCACTGCGCTGGAGACCTATACTCCCCATCACCAACATCAAAGGGCTTGACTTGATCTTCGGGCGAGACTTCTTAAAAAGATTCAACCCCGAGATCAACTGGGTGAACCACACCGCAAGCATCTACAACAATGGATGGAGAGTACAGCTACCCTACTGGGACGATACAGGAGATATCCCAGTGGAGACACTCGCACGATTCGAGAAGGACGTGAAGCAAGCTGATACCGGGTTCTGGGCGATAGCAACAGAGGCGGAGAACGACAGGGAAAAGACCTCGGAACCTCCGAAAAAGATCAAGGAATTATTGAAGGAGTTCCAAGACATTCTTCCTGACGATCTTCCGAACGAGCTACCGCCATACCGAACGCATCAATACGAGATCGTGGAGGAATCGGGATATCGAAGCCAACCTTCCGAACCATATATCGGCTCAGCCCTACGGAGCTGACCGACATGAAAAAACATATCGAGTATCTCCTTGCCAAAGGACTCATCCGACCATCCACTTCGCCATACGGTGCCCCAGTAATCTTCACACCGAAACTGGACGGAAGCCTGCGCATGTGCATCGATTACCGGGCTCTTAACAAGCAGACCATCAAGAAAAAATATCCGATACCGCGAATCGATGACCTGCTTGACCAGCTTCAAGGAGCTACGGTATTTTCCCAACTGGATCTGCGGTCCGGATACTGGCATATACGGATGGCGGACCACTCTATCCACAAAACTGCTTTACGAACTCGGTATGGATCGTACGAGTATTTGGTAATGCCATTCGGACTCACCAACGCACCAGCAACATTCCAAGCCGAAATGAACCACATTCTACGACCACTTTTAGACGAGTGCGTGATGGTATACCTGGACGACATCCTCATCTACTCGCGCGACATGAAGCAGCACGTCGAACACCTGCGACACGTCTTCGAAATTCTTCGACGAGAACGGTTCTACGTCAAACTGTCCAAGAGTGAATTCGCCCTTGAGAAGGTCCAGTTCCTAAGACACATGGTGAGCGCTCAAGGAGTTCACGTCGACCTCAAGAAAACCGAAGCCGTACGTACGTGAAAGACATCCGAGAATGTGTAGGAGTTGCAGCAGTTCCTAGGCTTCGCTAATTACTACAACAGGTTTGTGCCACAGCATGCGAAACTCGCAGCACCACTCACGAATCTGCTGAAGAAGAACACGCCCTACAAATGGGAGCCGAAGTACCAAGAAGCCATGGAGCAGCTGAAGCAAGCACTCACGTCCGCACCAGTACTCATCTTGCCAGATCCCGAATGCGACTACGTCATCGAAGCTGACGCCAGTGACCAGGCAATGGGAGCAGTCTTGATGCAAGACCAAGGAAATGGACTGCAACCAATCGCCTACCTCAGCAAGAAACTGCACGAGGCAGAACTAAACCACCCGATACACGACAAAGAGGCCCTTGCCATCGTCATCGCCTTCAAAGCGTGGAGATGTTATCTCGAAGGACGAAGAACAACCATCTACACCGACCACTGCAGCCTGAAATATTTGAAGACACAACCCAACCTTTCCAGGCGGCAGGTCCGGTGGATCAACTTCCTCGAGACACACTTCCACTACGACATCGTGTACAAGCTCGGCCACAAAAACAAAGCAGACGCTCTGAGCCGACCTGCACACGTTGCCGCTATTCAGATTGAAGGGATGAATCCACTCCTCAAGGGACTCTTCACATACGGGTACGCCATTGACCCTGAAATTCCCTTGGCAGCAAAGCAACATCTGCTACAGTGGGACAGTGACATCGCGTCCCGGAAAGGATCAACAAAAATCAGGGTACCCAATTACCCTCCTTTGCGCCAGTTACTACTCGAAGAATACCACGACGTCCTATACGCCGGACACTTCGGTAGCAACAAGACGCTGACCGGTATTGCAAAACACTATTACTGGCCCCACTTGGCAGAGGATGTTCAGAAGTTTGTCACCTCGTGTAATACATGTCAGCGGATGAAGAGCAGCAAGCAGAAAAAGGCGGGACTACTGCAGCCTCTTCCTGTCCCAGAACAACCATAGCAAGTGGTTAGCCTGGACTTCATCATCGGGTTACCACCTACCACCAGCGGTCATGACGCAAACCTTGTCGTCATCGACAAATTCTCCAAAACGGGACACTTCATCTCGACACACACGAAAGCACGCACCGAGGAGACAGCACAACTATTCATTCGATACATCATCTCACAGCATGGCATTCCGACCACACTCATCTCCGACCGAGACCCCAAGTTCACCAGCAAGTTTTGGAAGGAACTTATGTCTCTACTCGGGACCAAACTCGCCATGTCATTCGCTTACCATCCGCAGACAAACAGACAGACCGAGCGCCTCAACCAGATTGTCGAGCAACTCCTCCGAGCAGCCTGCAAGGACGAGATCTCCAAATGGGACTTGCACCTGCCCGTTCTAGAGTTTGCTTACAACAACGCTACACATGCCGCTACTGGACAGACGCCGTTCTTCCTCTGCTACGGACGCCACCCACTCACACCACAGAAACTGACAACATCCGCTACAGTCCAACCTGCACATGATTTCATCACAACCATGCATCAGCTTTGGGATCGGACCCACAAGCGCCTCCTCGATATTCAGCAGCAACAAAAGCGCCAGGCCGATCGCCATCGCAACGACCACACCATCACGGTGGGAGACCAGGTGCTTCTTGACACCCGCAACCTGGACATCAGCCACCTCCCATCTAAACTTCGACCTCGCTTCTGCGGGCCTTTTCTCGTTGAAGCACAGGTCACTCCGCTTACGCCTGCCAGCTACTCGGAAGATTCACAATGCCTTCCATGTCCAACTTCTGAAGCCCTATCGAGATCCAAACACGATCTTCGTCGGACGCCAACCGCCGCCGCCGCCGCCCGTCCTTGTCCAGAATGAACCCGAGTACGAGGTCGAGTCTGTGCTTGCACGCCGCCGTCGTCGGAATGGTACCGTGGAGCTTCTCATTCGTTGGAAGGGTTATGATCCTTCTGAGGACAGCTGGGTATCTGAGTCCGGCATGGGTAACGCCCGTCGTCCTCTGCATGACTACCTTGTCAAGCAGGGTGTTACTTCTACCACCCAGCTTTGAGGGGGGGAAGTGTGAGAGTACGACCCCGTTACACCATTTGGCCTTTCCTTATTTCCTTCCTATTTCATTTCTCTTTTTATCTCATCTCATTTGGTTTCCTCTTCTCCCTATTCCATTAACCTTTGGTTTATCCTGCTATTATAATTATATCACCGACCAGGCTTGGGATGTACTGGTGCGCTATATCTAGCGTAATCTTGCCGTAATCCCTTAAAGCCAATAGCCTCGCGTGGCTATACGCAGGGTGATTCTATCTTCTAGAAGGGTCTATTCCCTTGGGATAAGATAAACCTGGTTACCTGATGTACTCTGGAAGTATAAAAGCGCCTTGTACTGATCGATAGTGCAATCTTTCCTCGAGTCATTCGATCCTATGACATCGAGTCTCAGGGCACAGTATCGCAACCTGTGGCTGTCGGTGATCACATATGGCATGCACCACCTCCGCCCGGACGCACATCCATTCTATATCGATCCAAAGATGGAAGCCGTGATGGAGTGGGCGAGCGACTCATGGGCGCTTACCGGCCAGGCGACCGCGCAGCGGAGCTGGTGGCATATCGGCTGCGTGCCCATGGCCTAGACACCTTCCCTGAACGTGCTCATGCTGAGGGACCATTCGTGGATGTACGAACCACAGCTGGACAACATGCTCTATCTGCAGCGAAAGATAGGCGCACTCCGTCTGGGCTCTAGCGCAATGCGTGTGCCGGAGTGCATTTCTTGGGACGGCGAACCCCCTCCCTGTTACGCATGGTTTCGGACAACAGCACAGAGGCTGGCAGACAGCAAGGAGCCAAAGCTCTTAGAACATGTGGGGCCGATCACCGAGGATGCCAGGAGCCAGCGCGTGGTGCGCCGCCTGGCGGCCGACGTTTTCACACGCTATGCGTGGACTGCGCAGATGGAGCTGGCACGCGTGAAAGAGCTGGGCCTCTCGGCAACCCCGCCCTTATCGACCTGCTCGACCGCTACCGTTGCAAGCGTGGCCGTCCATCGGGTAACAGCACGGTGACACAGGACAACGACAGCGATTCAGATGGCATATCGGAGGAGGACATGGACGCCGCCATGGCTGGGATCGAAGATCTTGCGGAAACTGTCTTGGAAACGGCTCGCCGGGCAGACAAAGCATAGGGTTCGTCACGACACTCATCCACTGTTTCCAGGTGCCATTGCTCGGGAATTTGCGTATGCTACATCCACCATGAGCCATTTGCGCGTGTTATGTCGTGCTAAAAACTTACATATAGCTGTCATGTTGTATGTTTTCTGCTTTGTCAAAGTGCAACGGATTCTTCTTGCTGGCGTATCCCCCTTTGCAGTTTGCCTTAGCATGGCGTTGCACTTGTATGAGTAACATTGAGCTGCATTGCAAAAACCGCAACTTAGTCAGGCTCGCAAGACTACTAATTCCCCACCATTGTTAGCCTCGCACACCAGCTCGGGTTTGCCGCGTCATGCATCGCCAATTTGGGGTTCATTCACGCCCGTGGTTGATGATACGCAAAGTCTGCCACATAGGCAAAATCAGCATTTGTCGCCGAGGTGGCGACACGTGTACAAGGAACGCCGGTTTTTTGTATAACAAAAACCGATACAAAAGCGGTGTGGATGTGTGAGATGCACGAGTCAGCCTCAACCTAGATGGGTGGTGCACCACGGCGGCCCACAGTTCCACGTACATCTCTCCGCTCCAGTCCTCTGCTGCATACTCGCATGCTTACTAAGCTTTGGTGGAGATGGTTTTCCTCGTTATTATTCCCATAACCCATACCTAGATAAATTATGGATCCCAAAGAAATGGCGTTTGTGGCTCCTGGCCAGCCCCGGCGATTCTGCTGACGTAGTTATTTTCTGCGGTCGCACCTGGTGGTCGCTGCCACTGCGATGCAGGTCTACGGTGTGACGTGGACAGCGTGCGGGAAGACGCCATCCCCTTACGTCATACTATGCACACTGCACATGTTTCTAGGACGAGATGCGGGCTGCCCACCCGCTGGCCACCCGCCACGGGCTTACGGGGAGGCCCGCTTGTCTCTCGGCTTGGATGTGGACGCCAACCTGCCGTTTGTGTACGTCATGCTGATACACGCTGTCCACAGGGACGACGACAAGACGGACCAGCGACGGCGAAGCATCGCCGCCTTTATGGACCTTATAGCAGACCATTGCCTCATTAACCCAAGTGCGCGCACGCTCGCAGACGTCAAACTGTCAGCGGTCTAAGAGTACGACTACAGGCGCACCCTGTGGGTGTATGCCAACTCGTTGGGATATGAGGTGCATGGACACGATTAATGCTGCGACATTCCCGTAAAGGCCGACCCCTTGGCTATGCCCCTTCCTGACCGATGATATCGTCCATTTGTTGTCGTCTTTGTCAAATGCCGCGCAGGACGAGATCGCCACCGATGGGTCCGGCTGGTGCACCGACGACGAGGCCGCTGCCATTGCATTGGCGTGTGAATTGCTACCCGGCCTCGTCGCCCCAGGAGAGATGCCAGGAGACTCGAGAGGCAGAGGGCTAGATGCCATCGTGCGAGTCGGCAAGCTTTCACACGTGCTGGGCATGGAACACTGGTTCATAAAGCCGCGTCAAGGTCTCAACGGTCGCAAGACGGCAAATGCTCAGCGCTCGAGATGAGGGAAGCGACGAAGGTTGGTTCGCGTGGACCCTTCGCCGCGCGCAAACCATCGTGCTCGCGTTGCGTTGTCTGAGCGTGTTACATGCACTTCAACACAGGGTCTGGTGCTTATGTTCTTATGCGCTAGGGTTCCATAAATATTTGTACAAACGGTGTTCGGCCATATGCTTGCCGCCTTATGAAGACGGCACAAATGTTAGAGTAGCAGGAAAAGGTGTCGAAGGGAAAATCGTCGAGGGATACAAAATAGGGCTGTACTCACTAAGAACTAAACTAGCTAGGCTATTAACAAATAGGAACTAGCTAATCTATGTAAATATATTTGTTGACACACCCCCTAGCCTAGATAGTGGCAGTTCATAAAAAGGCAGAATGCACCAGGGCCGCACTACTAGTCTGACCTCAAGTGAAGGCAACAAGACAACTCAAGGCAGCACTACTAGTCTGACCACTGAGACAAGAGGCCACAAGGCCAGTCAGCAAGTGTAGCAAGGCATGCAAGTATAGAACAACAAGTACAAGCACGTATATTATGAATCAGGATACAAGGAGTGGTGCTCCTACGTAGACTAGACCAAGCTGAGTACAAAACCGCTGATGGTCACGAGGCATAAGTGCCTTGGTGAAGATATCAGCAGTGTTGGCCTCAGAGGCCAGCTGTACCACACGAGCCTGGCCGCGCTGCTGCAACTCACGCAGCAGGAAGTACCGCAGCTAAATGTGATTCACCCTGCCCTCAAGTCGAGCCTCTTGACACAGGAGGATCATGGCCCTGTTGTCAGCAAACAGGACCGAGGCAGACCTAGGCTGCTCACCAAAGTCAGTCAGCAAGAACGTCAGCCAGCGGAGCTCCTGAGCGGCCATGGCCCCAGCATAGATCTCTGCCTCACAACTAGACTGAGCTACAGACGACGACCTGGTGGACCTCCATGAGACTGCACCAGCACCAAGACCAAAACAGTAGCCCTGAGACAACCTGAGCGTCTCCAAGTTGTCAGCCCACAATGCGTCTGTGTGACCAGTGAGCACCACTGGCTCGTGTCCTCCTAGCACAAGCCCCAAACCTAATGTACTCGCCAGAAACCGCAGTACCCTCTTGGCAGCCAACCAGTGGAGTGGTTGATGCCTGCCTGTCCCAACAAAGCGAGCCAGAGGACTGAGAGGGTACGCTAGATCTGGTGGAGTGCAGGCCATCAGATACATGAGACACCCCACCAGCTTTGCGTATGGACCACTAGCCTCGACCGGCTCAGCCGGAATAGGAGCAGAGAGCTTGTGATCCACAGGTAGAGGGCTGGGTTGTGCTGAGGTGTACTAGAGACTGAACCTCTGGAGGATGTGATGCACCATATGGGGCTGGGAGAGTGTGATCGTGCGAGCAGCACGGTCACGAGAGATCTCCAAGCCCAGATAGCGCTTCAGCTCCCCCAAGTCTGTACAAGTAACTCGGCCTTCACTGAGGCCAGTTCGACTCTGTCAAAAGTAGCAAAGATAAGATCGTCTACGTACACTAGAATGTAGAACGATGTCTGACCCGTGCCAACAAAGAGAGAGGGGTCAGCAAAGGACGGAAAGAACTGCAGCTCAGCAAGAGTGGCGCGAAGCGTGCCGTGCCACTTAGGGGGTGCCTGACAAAAACCATAGACAGGACAGTGCAGGCTCCACTCGGTCCCAGGTGGGAAGGATCCAGAGAAGCCTAGAGGGCGCCGGAGGTAGATGTGCTCGTGCAGACTACCCTAAAGGAACGCGGTAGAGAAGTCGAGTGAGTGAAGCTCGTAGTCACACTGCGCAGCTATGTGAAGAAGGACCCGAAGTGTAGTCATCTTCAGGGTCGGAGAGAAGGTCTCGAAGAAGTCCACTCCCTCACGCTGACTGAAGCCTCTAGCCATGTAACGCGCCTTGAACTTGGCGGCTCTCCAGGTGCGCGCTTCACCCTGTAGATCCACATGCCATTGACTACGTTCGACCCAGGCGGGGGAACTGCCTTGATGTAAGTGCCTGAGGATCTGTAGGATGCCATTTCAGCCTCCATGGCCTGTATCCACAGGGCTGCCCAGGGCCCCAATGCTGCCTCAGCGTAAGAGTGTCGAGAGCGTCTGGGTCACCCTCTGGGGATACAAGCATGGAGCAGAGATGGGGAACAGCGGCAGCAAGGTAGGCCAACTCGTACTGCATGTCCTCTAGCACGTCACTGCCAAGGGCAAGTGCACCCCTGACGGACAAACCGGCAGTACCAGAGACCAGAGCGACAGCGTAGTCAAGGCGGTGGCTAGCAGCAAAGTCAATGACAGCAGCGACAAGCACAGAGGCGGACTTAGGAGGAGAAGTAGGGTCAGTGAGAAGCGACGCAAGCAAGCGCAAGAGGGTAGCACAAGCAGTGAGAGCAGTGTCAGAGCGAGGAGGGGGGAACGACGGGAGCGATGACGGGGGAGGCAACGAGACGACTGTGACTGGAGGAGCATGCGAACGAAGAACCATAGGGTGGACACTAGGACAAGGAGTGACAAGACGAGCACCAGAGGGGCAACGGACGCAGTGGGGAAGAACGGGGGACGAGTCAGGGGACGGAGGGGAGCGTGGAGGAAAACGAGCCAATGAGGAGTCCGGAGGAGGGAACAATGGGCCGTAAACAAGGTCACGCACCGGAGGGGGAACGGGCGGGCGGACAGGGGAACCTGGAGCAAGACCAAGGAGGCAAAGGGTAGACTGCGGCTGCTCCTGCTGCGGAGGCTGCACCTCCTGCTGCGGCTGAGCCTTCTGCTGCGGTTCCTGCTGCGGCTGCTGCTACTGCTGAGGCTACCGCTGCGGCTGCAACTGCTCCCTGTCCTCTTCAAAACCTCCAGCCGTACCCTGGCTGCCACCGTCACTCCCCAAAACAGCACCCCTAAGACTAGCGCCCTCGGACGCACCACCCACAGAACCAGCACCCCCAGAACTCGCACCCCCTGAACCAACACCCCCAACACCAAAACCTCCAACACCAGCACCCCCAGAACCAGCACCCCTAGAACCCACTGCTCCCTGCTGCGACCGCTGAGGCTGCTAAGGCGGCTGCTGCTGCTGCTGCTGCTGAGGCTAGGAGGGGGGCAGCTGAGGTGACTGGGGTACCAAGGCTGGGGAAGGTGCCACAGGGACAGCAGGCACGCCCCTAGCAGCTGGGCCCCCTGAGTCAGCCGACTCCCCCACAGGTGCAACCGAGGGAAACTGAGTGGCGTGGGAGACACCAGACTGGGCCAGGCAGGGTGGGAGGGGTGTGGCAGGTGGGGCAGGGATAAGGAAGAGAGGAGGAGGAGGCATAGGAATGCTGTGGTATGGGAAGTGCCAGTATTAGGGGAGCGTCTCGTCAAAGGTAACGTCATGAGAGTGGCAAAAGTGGTGGTGTGACGGGTGGTAGAACAGCTAGTCAGAGGCGTCAAGCGGAAACTCCAAGAAGACACAAGGAAGGGTGCGGGGTGAGAGCTTGTCCGCGCTTGTATCGCGGATGTGAGCAAAGCTGCCCCAGATGCGGAACGCAGATGTGGCACCAGGAGACCCGGTCCAGAGGAGGTTCGGCGAAACCTGTGGCCGCTGGGAGTGCGGCCACAGGTTAAGCTGCTGAGCAACGTAGCGCACAGCGAACGGCCACAGAAAATGGGGTGCACCGGCGTGGATCATGGAGGTGCGAGCCACCTCCATGATCAGGCCGATGCGTCGCTCAGCAACCCCATTCTGCTGTGTGGAGTCCGGCAGTGTGTATGTCTGGCGGATGCCCTCCGCATGACAGGACTGTCCTAGAGTGCATAAGGTGAACAGGCCACCTCGGTCAGAGTGTAAGCGACCTACAGGCAGATGGTGGTGGGTGCCTCAGGAGGAGAACGGTAGGCATGTAGGCCTTCCGCTCCAACAGGAACACTTAGGTGAACCGCGAGAAGTCGTCAACGACGACTAGGAAGTAGCGCTCCCGACTAAGACAATGGACCGAGGCAGGGACCCAGACGTCCATCTGCAGTGTCTGTAGCGGCGCTGTGGTAGGAGGAAACAATGAGTGAGGGGCGGCGCGCTGCCGGCCCTCGGCGCAGGAGGTGCACAGTGGCGCTAGTGATGGAGGCAGGGTGGGGAGCAATGTAGGGAGACCAGTGACTAGACTTGCTGGGACATGTGCCTAAGATGCGGGAGTGCAGGGTGACTAAGTGGTGGTGCCACAAAAGGGTCGGGTTGGCTAGTGAGCGACAGGAGCAGGACGCGGCGATCTTGGCAGATGCAACAGCCGGCAAGGACTCAGTGTGCAGTGTGAAGAGACCTGACCTAGGGTCACGCTCAAAAGTGGCTAAGTGTCGACCGGTGGCTGTGTCTGTGCAAGCGGCGTGTCTCTCGCGGCCAGGGAACGTAGTGGTGACGCCTCGGTCTTGGAGGTGACCGACACCCACTAGGTTCCTAGCAAACGAGAGGATGTGAAAACCTGTAAGGGAGCCGGAAGGGACAACTGGACAGGGGAGAGTGGTGGTGCTATGTGTGACAGCTGTGGCGGAGGAGTCTGCTAGTGCGATGCGGACATGTGCACGAAGCAGGGTGAGAGCAGTACTTTTTCAAACAAAAAAAAAGCACCGAGATGCGCCAGAGTCTAGGACAAATGAGAGGGCCAATGTGGTGGGGGCCAGTGAAGAGTCTCTAACAGGTCCTATGCCTTACGCAGCAGAGGAGTCTACGCCTGACGCAGCAGCAGATCCTAGACTACACACAGCAGTAGCTCCAAGGCTCCAATGGCTGTTCAATGATTCCTGTAGGGAGGTGGCCCCTAAACGCCGTGTCGAGAACGTGATGTCGGGAAATAAATGTGGCGCGTGCGGCTTATGCCATGCGGACTACAACTCATTGCGTTCCCACCTAGAGCTATCCGAGGTATGCTGGCAGAGATAAGCGACAGCACGCTATCGCGACCTCGAAGAGGCATACAAAGAGGCGGCACTACTAGTCCAACCTCTGAGGTGTCGAAGTATACTCGACACAGTTTACTTATGCATTCCTGATATAACATTTAGACTGTATTAGTAGCGAGGTACCTCATATGGAAGGATGCACGTGATGACGTCAACAGTAGCGAGTCAGCGCGTGAACAGTAGGTTCGCGCGTATAGTCACCCAAAGGGTCACGCCACTCTCAGTTACACAAACAGTCACTAGTCATGTCACGCGAATAGTCGCGATACACTACGAACAGGTACATCTGAATAGGTACTTCCTAGACTATAAATATGTCTGTATTAT